TGACACCGCGTTATTACTAAACTTCCAGTCTGAATATTCACGAGGCATTATGTTCCAGCGAAAAGAAATAAAGAAAAAGGAAAGAAAAGGAAAAAAGAAGGGAAAAGGAAAGGAAAGAAAAATGGGCGACGGGGAGAAGGGGAAAGAAAGAGGAAGAAAAGGAGCGGGCGTGTAATTAAGCACTAATGGAGAGTCCCGTTAGATCCCGAAAGGAGCTTTACAACGAAGCGTCAAAGTGCAAACATTAAATATGCCGTGGACGATTTTTAAGGATGCGTTACGGGGCCCGAGCTTACGCCGTTAATGGAAGGATAAGAGGAACAGTGCGGGTAGGTGGCGAGGGGCGGATTTGAAGGATGCGAGAGGACACGAGTATGAAAAGGGTGAAAGGGTCGAGGACCGGAAGTTCACGAGTAGGGTTGATGCCCGCTACGCGTTTCCGCGGTAGAGCGGTTTAACGCGCACATACCGCGTCTTCGTGTGTGCTACCACGACGACTGCCGACGGGATAGCGTGTGTGCGCGTGTGTGTGTTAATGCATACGTATGAGCGGCCGCATACAGCGGGCCACGTGTGTCTTGCCGAGCAAGGACTTCTTAACAGCGATTTTAGTGACGGTTAATTAAACATGTTTTCGTTCCCTACGTGATCCCCCGTTGCCCTCTTCTATGGTAACCTCTTTGATCGATATTGCTTGTTGAGAAATTTTTTCTCCTTTTTTTTTTCTTTCTCTGCGTGGTGGTAATGGATGGTAAGGTGGAGAGGTTATCGATTAGCGCGGGATGTTCCAGTGTGGGAAATTTGTTTTCTAAATAGCCTGTATTATATCGAGGTGATATGGGAGATTGGGAAACAGGGATTTCCTAATGGCGAGTTTGTCTATGGTTATTTCGGCGTGGATCTTCATTGATTATGTAAGTTGCTTTTTGCGAGTATGTGTGTGTATGGTTGTAATGCACGATAGGATGGCGAGGTTAGTAATTGGTGTGGATGTTTAACTATGGGATATTTATTTTTTAAATAACGTGTACACGTGTATGGGGAAATATGCATAGACGATGATATGATGAGACGACTTTTTAATATTCGTTTTAGTAATAATTTATTATACTAGGTGTCGTTCTTTTGTCGATTATTCGTTGATTTCTTTTGTATTAATGGCTAACGAATAGTTAATTATTGACTGTTTTAATTTTAGTAATAATATATTACACTTGGTGTCGTTCTTTTCTCCATCCTTCGTTGATTTGTTTCGTATTAATGATTGACGAATAGTTAATTATTGGCTGTTTTAATTTTAGTAATAATTTATTATCCTTAGTGTCGTTCTTTTCTCGATCCTTCGTTGATTTGTTTCGTATTAATGATTGACGAACAGTTAATTATTGACTGTTTTAATTTTAGTAATAATTTATTGCACTTGGTGTCGTTCTTTTCTCGATCCTTCGTTGATTTCTTTTGTATTAATGGCTGACGAGCAGTTAATTATTAAGTATAGTTAATTAATATGATTAAACGAACAGTTTATTATTATTCATTAATGCACAGTAATTAATCATTTATTTTCCGAATAAGGAATTTATGAAATATCTTATTTAACATCGAATAACTGATTTTAGATATTTTGCGTTTCCAATTATCTAGAATCTGCATATGAATTTAATAAAATTAATATTGTTCTCTATAAAAATATAAATGAAATTATATATACCAATTTTTTCCATATATTTCCATTATATTTAAATATATTTATTGCAAGTCACTAATTTTATTATTAATGAAGATTAATTTAATAAATTTTCCTTTCTCTCTTTAATTTCTTCAGTTGACATTAATTATTCTGAAAATTTGTGGCTTCTAATTTTTATTTCTATCGTTTTATAAATAAAGATAGAAATATATCCATCATAGAAATATAATCATTCTAAAATTTTACAATTGCTATAAATTTATATGAAATGAACTTGTTAGTTGGATCAAGATTTATTATTTTGTCAACGAAGTGTTCCATGTAATTTTAGTATTGATCGATGTAACATCCTTTTCCTTTCCCTCGTTTTCTACGTTAATATCTTTAACTGATGGTTCTTCTGAAATTTTGCGAAATTTTACCGAGGAAGAATTAATTAAACGCTTTTCCGTTTCCTCTTTGATTCTTCCTCGTTATCTTCTCTGTTAATTTCTTCCACTGATGTTAGTTGTTGTGCAACTTTTTAAAGCGTACTCTTGCGTTTGCATGGATGATATCACGAGGTAGTTACGTATTGCACGAAGTAAATGTGGAAACGAGAGAAACTGGTGGTCTTGTTGATGTACATGCATGATGGACCACTTGTTCTTTGTTTAACCGTTGGTACAGGTACATCTTCTCTGGAAACCAGTTAAATTGTCGGTTTTCGATATTACCACTTCGTCACGGGGCAAAGTAATCGTCTATTAATTTCATAGAGCATGACACTCGGTACTTCATTTGCTATAAGAATGAACCTTAATTGCAAATTAAACGTAGGTTACTTCAAAAATATACTAACTCTACATATTTCTGTCTAATTTTCATAGTAACTTGACGATGAGCATCAAACTTCAATTTTTATTTTTTTTTTTAGCATCATCGATCTTTAATGTATAGTTAAGTATACTATGCATATACGATTAATAATTCCATTACTCTTTTTACGATAAATGCAAAAATAAAATCGTGTTAAGTAAATCGCTCGTTTGCTGAATCGATTAACTCCAGAAAATAAAAGGTGGAAATTTATTTTAAATATAGGGAATTAAGCATCAGTCGAGTACCTTGTTATTAAAATTTTTTGAGATCAAAAAGTAAGGAATTAAGGACTTATTCACTTTGACTTTAAATGCCATGAAAATCCAGAGGATATGTATATTATAAAAATAAAATTAATTAAAATAGTACCACGGGTTAAACAAGTATACGTAATTATCTGTCAATTCCAATTAAGCTCAAACATAATTTTACCATAAGCAATTACACGTTTTCAATAATTGCAAGAATAAAAATTAGAAACTAGATATTCTGTCATCTTCTGTCAAGTTCTCATAGACACTTGTTATTCCTCATAACCTGAAATTAATTAATAACATTTAATTTCCAATTTCCATAAATTTTCAAAGACGCTGCAATCTCATTAACAATTAAACTATCACCCAGTATCTAAAAACAATTTTAATTAAATTATTATAATACATCCAAATTGATACTTAATTCATAAGAATCACTAGACATTCTGTCATCTGTCAAATTCTCAAAGACAGTTCAATCCTATTAACAATAAAACTACCACCGAGTACCCACACCAATCTTAATTAATAATTAATCTTAATTAATTCTTAATTCTAACAAAACCTATCTAACCAAAAACATCTGCATCTAAATCCCATTAAAACAGAAAAATAAAAAACCTATTCATATTTCACCGAAATCCAATAATCTCATTCTTAAAACCAAACCACCCCAACGACGATACAAATTTCTCCAATCAATGGGATTCTTCCTCGACTTTGATACTCCATTGATAATTCCAAGACTGCATCGATTGCGACAATTATGATGGCGCGTTGCGATTCCTAGCAACACGCTCGCCAGCTGATTACCAGCTCTTGTATACAAGGCACTTGTTCCGGCAGCTGCAGGTTCGCGTTACGGTTTTCGCGATTGTAAATTCGAATTTCTGGTTCGGCGTAATGCGTCGGACACGGGAAGTTCCGAAGGTATAATTTATCACGAGGGCCGAGGGAGTTACAGCGCGGGCCAAATGGAAAATTCGGATTTAACCCCCCCGCGAAGAAATTAAACGCGACTCGTTAGACCGATAGCTGGTCGAAGGGTTCATTGGAAAATCGCGAAATTCGGCCCGCGTTCCTTCGAGATTAAGCACCCGGCCGAAACGTAGTAATGCACGTACGTCGCGGGTTACGACAGGGATAAAGGGGATAGAACAGGTTTCCAGCTCGTAATGAAATGCTAAACGCACGTTGGGGGTGCAGTTGCGGCTGTAAAGAATGGTCGTGTAAAACTTTCGTGACGACTCGCGTCGTGCTGTATTATCAGTGCCATTTGTAATGCTGATTCGACCACTGGCCCGAGAAATTGTTCGCGTTTTCAGCCAGCGTATGAAATTACGCGCGAAGCTATAAAGTGTGTCACGTTGGTCAAGCAATTTTTATCTGTATTATACTCGCGCGACATGCTTGTCCGCCGCGCGAAATGCACGGCCGGTGTTGGACACGATGAGATTATTTAAATTGTCATTTTTCCCCAGCAGGTTTGCTTTAAGTGACCAGATTAATTAGCTACCGCTGTTCTCAAATTTGCGATGTAATTTAGTAGGTTCGAACGAGTGTAAATGTAACTGGGTTATGATCGTGTTGCGACTATGCTCGAATGAAAAATGAAAGGAATTTATGCTGTCAACGAAGTGTTTCTTTGCGACTTATTATTTATAAAGGAGTACTATTTAAATTTTCTGATGGAATAATTAATTGTTTTGGATTACATATTCATACGGTACTAGATTTTTTCAAATTAAATTTTGCGCTTACTTAACACGAGTGTGTGAATAGATAAAGTTTGACAGAGTATAAGGATGGACGCTAATTTGGCAGTGGATTCTAAACTCAGGTTTAAATTCTTTTAGAGTAATTTATCTCGTTTTCGTGTCACGTTTAATATACAAAGTCGCCTTCTTCGAAAAATTTTACAGTTTGCGATATTTACGATTTTCTCTCTCTCCAAGCAAAACTTGTAATTTCGCAAAGCTTCGAATTGCAAAGAAAGGATGGAATTAGCGCTGGAACGAATCAAGGAATTCGCGGGTTGCAAGGCCTGGTTATTAACCCTAATGGGAAAATAAAAGCTCGGTTCTTCCAGAGCATACTTTTGCATGACCACATTCCTATTTCAAACATTTAAATAGGACGTTCGATCTACGTTGAGCCTCTTACCGTGTTACATTGATCCTGTTTCTCGTTTCTAGATAAATCCTGAAACTCGTCCCGACTCTGGCCGAAGTCTGTGAGTTCTTGACAGAGAACAGACTGTCATAGCACAGTGCACGAGGATCGAAGCTGTCAATCGACGTGGCAACGTTCTCATAACAGAATGTACCTCCGGAGCAGCTCCACCTATCACGCAACTCCGCCTATAATGCGAGGACAATTCAGTTTCTCGACCCGGCGTCACGCGTCCTGGCCCGATCCCAGCTCCGAAGCTTTCCAAGTGCGCATCGTGGCACGAATCATTGCCGTAATCAGCAGATAAGGAAACGGCAGAGAAGCGTGCAACAAAAGGCAAGGTAAACGGTAATCTACATCCTCTAGGAAAAGGTCGAGCGCGGTACAGAACCATCCGCCCCTGGAGGCGGGTAGGCAAGACGGAGCCAGCACACGATCTATCCTCATCCGTGCGTGTTCGTGACTTGGGTCGGGCCTAGCTCGGGCCACGTTGGGCCCGGCCTGGCCCGTTCTCTCGTCTCCCACCAGGCCCGGTGAGCAGCGCCAGAACCGGCACCAGCGGTATACCAGCGACGCTAACAGTACACCAGATCCTTCTGCTCCTTCGTCTTCGATCCTGCGGCCCTAAGGAGCAGTCACGGAGCAACCCTTGCTGTAGCGGGCGTTAGAATGCCCAGGGGGGACGGGCGAGGTTGTAAAGGAGGGCGAGGATGGCATCAGACGGTCGCGGGAAGGGAAGAGGAGAAGGCAAGTGGCGAAGAGGTGGGCAAGAGGGTCGACGGTTTGGAAAGAGGAGGGCCAGGAGGGAGGCAAAGACTCTCCGCAGGTCGATACCATCGCTAAGAGCCACCAGGTTCAGGTCTCCCGCTGCTTCTATGCACCAACGAGAGCGACAGAGAGCACAGAGGACTCGGAGAAGAGGGTGAGAAGGACGCCGATGAGAGAGACGGGGTCCAAGGAGGAAGAGAAAGGTTAAGATGGTTAGAGGAACGAGGATGGGAATAGGAGGCTTCCCCGTAATTATTCAGCAAGGAGGACCCGCGGGTCAAGTCGGGTTATCTTAGCACTAGGATGCAGGGTTATCTACCCTGCCTTACTCTCGTTCCTCCCCGTCGTTGGACCGAGAACCACGCAGCGGGAGGAAGAGGGACCTTCCCTCTTTGCCTCGTAAACATTCCCTGTTTCGCGTCTAGCGCGCTTTCTGTATGAATATACGCGTGTATATAGTCCTGGAAACGATGTTGCCGCTGATACCCCGATACGATCGAAGAGACGCGGTTTCGAAGTTTCACCGTGACGAAAGGATGACGTTGATTCGCGTGAATGGAGACGTTTCACTATCATTCGCGGAATCTGCTCTTTGCCGAGTCCCCGTTCGTGATTAATGTACATGGACATCGGGAGAATGAGCAGAACTTTCGGTTATGTACCTGGTGGCACCGAAGTAGATAGACTTTTCGATCGAGCTTGATCTCGTTGAGGTTAGTTGCTCGGTGTTGCGGCGTTGGATTTATCGAAGGAATTACACGTTAAAGGATCTATCGACGCGTGTGGAGCCAGTGCGGTGTCATCAGTCGATCATGGCGGAACGCCGGTGACATCCACTACTATTACGTGTATGGAAGGGTATACGTGTATGAAACAAAGGAAACAAAGGAATTGCCTCTAAAATTAAATTTGTTTCTGAAAATTCAGTTACGTTTGGACGATGTTTTCAGTTTATCTTCAGTTCTAGAGATATGGATGACAGAGTTTGGATCTTTAGTTCATCTTCAGTTCATCTTTACTTCTGAAGATATAGGTGACAGAGTTTGGATCTTCAGTTCATCTTCAGTTCTAGAGATATAGGTGACAGAGTTTGAATTTTCAGCTCATCTTCAGTTCATCTTCAGTTCAGGACATAGGGGTGACAGAGTTTAGATCTTCAGTTCATCTTTAGTTCTAGAAATATAGGTGACAGAGTTTGAATTTTCAACTCATCTTCAGTTCATCTTCGGTTCAGGATGTAGGGGTGACAGAGTTTAGATCTTCATTTCATCTTCAGTTCATCTTCAGTTCATCTTCAGTTCATCTCCAGTTCATCTTCAGTTCATCTTCAGTTCATTTCCAGTTCATCTCCAGTTCATCTCCAGTTCTTGAGATATAGGTGACAGAGTTTGGATCTTCAATTCATCTTCATTTCATCTTCAGTTCATCCTCA